GCCGCCATGTGGGTGCTGGGAATTGAACCCAGGTCCTCTGCAAGAGCAGTCAGTGCTCTTAACCGCTGAGCCATCTCTCCAGCCCCGATTTCTATTCTTATATGTAGAAAACGCATGAGGGTCCACACATTGCTCAGCTAGAGGCCTAAGAGTGCAAGCCATCAGTGCTTTCCACACTTCTGTGGCCTATGGGGGCAGAGTTCTACTTTAGGTTGCCCGTAGATGGGAAGAGGAGCTGTCCTGTCCCTGCCTCTCCCTCTTTCCCTCTTTCTTTCGTCTCTGGCAATCTGACTCCATTCAGTTACAAAGTGGCTCTTACACTGTTAAAACTGTCTATGGGCTACAGTTTGTAGTCACAGACCCTGCATTTACTGTGCCTCAAACATGTCCTTGAGGCTACTTCCCATGGCGTACACAGCCCACAACAATGTTAGCTAGTCTTGTGTCTGGGTAGAGAAGAAGCCCAGTGTGAACTCTGCTTTTCAGCACTTTCTTCCATCTTGTCTCTTAGCAGGAAACTGCAGAGCAGTCTAGAGGCACCAAAAACTTGTGGCAGAGCCACTCTCAAGCAACATAAAATCACAGAGAGATCTGAGAGCTGTGGAGGGTGGCAGGATCAGCTAGAAGGGCCAGGTTGTTGTAGGTCTGTGTCCCTGTAGGAGTTCTGTCATGTGGTGACACTTAGTGATGAAGTGTGGCATGGCTGCTCAGCACTATAAGCTATGGACTGTTCACAGGGAGCAAGAATGTGTCAGACAAGCTGGGGGTTCCAGAGGGGACATGTGGGACCTGGACACTCTCTTCCAGAAGGCAAGCATGGAGAGTGGGCTAGCAAGCTTAGTGAGCCTGAGTGTCAGCCAGTGTAGTTTACACAAGAGTCCCAGGCTCCTCTTTGTTAAAGAATGCTGCTTTCTCTTTCAAAAGCAATCAGCAGCCCACCCTGTCTGCCAGATTGGTCTTGTCGCTCAAGTTAATGATATGTTCACTGAAGTATTCCAGAGAAGTGTTACCATGCCTGCAGCCTAACAACAAAATAGCACAGCATGGTAGGTAGATAGGGGAATAGGTAAGTGGTAAAGAACAAAATGTGAGCTGGTATGATGGTGTACACATCTGTAATCTCAGCTTTTGGCCAGTAGGCATAGGAGGATTAGGAGTTCAGGTTCATCTCCCTGGGCTCCATGAGACCCTGCATCAAATAACCTAAACAGAAAGAACAGAGGAAGTAAATATAGTTTGACTATCCTACCTAATAAAAAATCTGAAAAGCATTTGAAGTTCAGTGGAAAATTCCAAGTCTGACCTCATGTAACAGGTTGTAGTTAAAGCATAAGTCTGTTAAAAATATTGCATTAAATTTCCTTCAGGCTAGTTTCAAAAGGTACATTTATTTCAAACATGCATGGATTTCACATTTAGGTTGAGGTCCCACCTCCAAGACACTCCATATATAAATATTCCAAAAGCCGAAAAAAATCTATAACACAAAACTACCTTTGGTTCCAAGCATTTTAGAAAAGGTACCTGTAGTAGAGTCTATGTGGGGACATAGTGTGTGACATAACACTGAGTTAACCTTGTTGAAAATCAATTTTACTATGTCACGTTTGTGGGATTAAGCACCTGTGTATGAGAGAGGGGCTTGGGGACATGCACAGAAGGTAGGCATTTCTAGTCACCAGCATTCTGACTGGCTCTAAAACAAGACCTGGCAGTGTAGACTGGAGGCTCCTCCCAGTTGTGGCCCCCCTGGGTTGATGTGCTGTCATCCTGGTCCTTTGTTAGGGAACCTACGTGATTCAGACTGTGTGGACACACTGCCTGGGGAGAGAGCTACTAGGGGCCTGGGGAATGACCGAATGGATAAGAGTTTTTGCTGTACATGCATAAGGACTTGAGTTCAGATGCCTAGAACCCATGTTAAAAAAACAGTTGCATGTAGCCCTATAACCCCTTCTCTGGGTCAGGTCTAGACTGGCCCAGATACAGGAGGTCCCCTGGGGATGGCTGGCCAGCTGGCCTAGATGAGAAATGATGAGCTGAGCCCCAGGTTCAGACCCTGTCTCAAGGGACTGAGGTGGAGAGTGACAGAGCAGGACACTGATGCCATCCTCTGACCTGGGGACTCATGAATATGGGCGTGTACACACATGTACGCTTCCCCCCCCATACAAGAAATATAAGCAGGACTCAGGGTGTCCTATCAGAGTCACAGACAAGCCGTCTGGAAGAAGCTGGGCTGTATCTTCAGGCAGCCGCAGTGTCTTCCAGATTCATTTTGATTGCTGTCCTTGCTTGTCTCTCTAATGGGTAAGTGCGTTTCAAGTGTGGAAAGGCTTAGAAATCAATGCAGAAAATTTTAATCGATTCAACCATCCTGTTGCTATTTTGATTTAATAGATTTATATTTGCTATTTTCAAGTAATTATTTAACATAATTTGATCTAAGTAAGAGTTTAGACTGCATTTCCAAACTAAAATATGCGCTGTAGTAATTTGAGTTTATGGAGAGGGTTGACATCTGCTATCTTTATGTGTATTAGGACATTTAAAGGGATTTATCAGGCTTCTAGTCATGGTTTAAGGGCAGATACTCTGTAAGTTAAAACAGACGGTTTTAATAAAAGACTTATATAACAATTATTCCTGAAGCATGGTATAAAAGAAAAACACCAGCTTTGGAAGTGGTCTTGCTCATGTGAAGAACAGGGTTATCGGGGGTAAGATGTGCTTCCTTCTTCTCAGTGTTATTTTAATTCAGGCTCTCTTTATGTAGCCTGTGCTGGCCTTGAACTCACTTTGTTCTGCTTCAGCCTTGTTAGTGCAGACAGGCTTTCAATGAAACAACCATGGAGGAGGCATGCTTGGTACCTCCCTTAGTTGTATTGAGCCACCCTGTCTGCATTCACAGGAAATAAGCAGGTTTGGGACAAGAGCCCTCCCTCCCTTTTTTTTTGGCCACCTGGACAAGGTTTGGATGAAATTGCATGTCGCGTAGAGCCATGGCCACTCAAGACAGCCCTGAATGGGCACCGAGACAGGCCCTGGGCTGGAGGGTGCTTGGCTGGTCTGCAAGACATTGTCTTTCAGGTCTGGCTTTTGGTAATTAGGCACTCATAGCTGGCTCTGCTGTCAGCAAGCCTTTATGACAAATTGCAAAATCTGTACAGCCATCTGAGAGACAGACAAGTAGACCCAATGACACTACAGGAGATATTGGTAGTTCTCAGAAGTTTGAAAGAGAATGCTTAGAGAGGCAATCCCCCAAACTGAATTCAGAAGTCCTTTTCTCTAAATGTGCCTTAAAAGGTTCATTCAGTTACAGACTCAGGCCTGAAATGACTTCGACAGGCTGGAATTTAATAGGATGAAATGGGAGGAGAAATACATGAAAAGTTCTGTGTTTTGGGTTTAAAAATCCCAGCAGTGCATGACAGGACTGGGAACAGGATAAGGAACAGATCCAAGGAGTAGCCGCCCATGAACAAGACCAGTGGTGATCCTTAAAACACCCAGAGCCTAGCACACCACATCAGGAGACATGGAGTGTTCCAGCTGGGGGGCGTGATAAGCACACTGTACTGTCATACCAAGATTTTTTCTAGTTCCACATATCCAGGCTCACAGAGGAAGCCAGACAAAGACAGTTAGTTGCTGGAGTATTCATTAGGGGGCTGGCCTTCGTTGTAATTTTTCTTAGTAACTTCTCAATAAATATTTTTCAGTCATGCTGTTTGTTTTTCTGTCATGAATAACTTTAGCTCTAGTTTGAAAAAAAAAATTGTTTTAAGGTCAGGGTCTCATATAACCAAACCTGACTTCAAATTTCTGATCCTCTGCCTCCACCTACCTCCACCTCCCACACACTGGGGTGCTTGCTACCTTGCTCGGTTTATGTGGTGCTGAGGATGCAGCCCAGGGCTAGGCAAGCACTCTACCAATTGCTCCATACCCTCAGCCCCTCCAAGTCAAAACACAGTGTCATTGCAGCCCCCAGATGGCCTGGAACTCGATATGTAGACCAGACTGGCCTGAACTCAGAGAGATTCACCTGCTTTGTTGTGTGGTGTGTGTGGTCCCCACCCCCCAGCGTTGGGATTAAAGGCATGCACCACCATGCCTGGCCAAGTCAAAATTCTTGATCCCTGTTATTAGTCCTAAGCTTCCAAGGGCTTCGTTTGTTTATTTATTCATAAATAACCCCACCTTATTATAATTTCTTCTTCCTTGCAGGTAGAAATGAATTGATAGCCAGATACATCAAACTCAGGACAGGGAAGACAAGGACCAGGAAGCAGGTACAGTACCCGCCTGGAAGGTGTGCATGTCAGCGAATGGCCTGGAGGCATTGGGCTGCCTTGGCTGCTCTGCTTCAGCTCTAGGAGCCCCCGTCCCAGTGCCCTGTAGGTGTTCCAGAGTGGCTGGTTTCCACTCTTCATCATTTGAGTGACCCTGAGCATGCGCCACTGCGCTCTCATATGCACGTGGGACAAGTTCACTGCTAAGGCCAGGGTCTGAACCTCCCCTGTGCTGTGTTTTACTCTGCTAATGTACATCTGCCAAAGCTGCAGAAGGCTGCAAGTACAACTACCCTTGCAAGCCAAGAGATTGGAAGGTTCTGTGCATCCTGGAATTGCATATTAGTCATCTTTTAGTGAAGTCACGCTAGCGGCCTTTAGCATTGGCCTAAGTACAACACCGAGTGCTACGCTTCCAGGGCACTGTGGCTTCTTTAGTGATGGCTTTTTGTCAGCCACTGCTGCAACTGTAAGGCAGCTATAACTCACATATGCTGCAGAGCAGGGGTAGGAATTCTCTTCTGCCTCCTGCCAGGGCTCTGTCTTCCCTGGGTCTTTTGGATACAAAGCAGCCCAGATCTCTGGTGTGACCCAGTTCACAACTGGAATGGATGAGAAATAAGTGTCTCAAAACAGACAATGTAACAAAAACAATGAAAGGAATAATCCACCTGATGTGTGGGTCAACAGAAAACAGTTAATTTTTTAACGTTAATCTATATGGAATGAAACGGTGCAGTGCTCAGTGGCTGCAGTTAGTCAGTCTTGGTGTTGTCTACACCTGTAATCTCAGCCTCTTGGGAGGCTGAAGCAAGAGGATTGCTTGAGCCCAGGAGTTCAAGACCAGCCATCTTAAACCAGAAAATTATATCCAAAGCCCAAAGGCAAGCCAACTGACCCGACCCTTGTCTCTTTAACTGAGCAGCAGTGGCTACTCCTAGGGAGGATGTTTCCCTTTCAGGAGTGTTGATCAGGGGGCTGGGCTGTCTCCCAGGAATGCTGCCTGTGCTGGCCTGGTGCTGAGTCAGCAGAAGGGGTGGCCTCCTGCCAATACACAGGCCTGTATTGTCTTCTGGGATGCACCGGGCCTTGGCCCCCATCAAATCAGAGAACTCAGACAAGATTCTGGGTGAAAATAAGTAACAGCAGGTGCCAGATGGAGGGGTGAAGAGGATGAGGGAACCCCTGCTTCTCTATACCCATATGAAAGGAAACGGGAGAAATTGAATCATTGAAACTCAAAGACGAATTTAACCATCAGATCTTTGATAATCATGAGTCCTGTTGTTAAGAGTCTCAGAGAGCCTGAAATGAGGTAATTGCCATAAACTCCTGAGTCTCTGAACTTAGAAATGGAGGACTCTAAATTTCCAAAGCAGAGTGAATCCTCTTTCTGTTTCAAGTGCTGAGCTAGGCTGTCTGCTGGCCTATGGGCTCTGGTCACTTGCCCAGTGACCCCTTCACTGGGGGACTCCTCTAAATTTAACCAAGTCCCGCTGAAAGAGATGGAGATCTGTTTGCCTGGTGGAATCGCTGTGTATCACAAGTCTGCCTGGCCGTGTTTCCACACCCAGCATCTTTGGGATGGATGTCTGTTGGCCACAGTTGGTGATATATCTCTGATGTGAGATCGTTGTCCAGCAAAGCCGTTTGGTTTTTCAACCCAGATTTTTAACGGGCTAGCTGGCTGGCTGGCTGGCTGGCTGGCTGGCTGTATTCACACATTTCGCTTTGTAATAATATGCAAATCCACTTGGCACCCAGTCAGTACCCAAAAGAGTGGAAGGATTATAGATATTTGGGGGGGGGTGCTCTGCTAACTGGGTCTTTCCATTTCTCTTTGAGATCTAATTTACATGTTAGTATTATTTTAGCATTTGCCACAAAGTCCACAGCTCTTCACAAGCACAGAACTCAACTACAGCATCAGCTTTGATTCTGTAGAATGTACTAATTTATGAAGTCCCCTCTAAATTAAGAAAAAGGGATTTTCCCTCCAGATACTGAGACGCTATATAAATATTTTCATTTTCCTCTATCCCCACCTTTTTAATTTAATAAAGTACCCCCTCAGCCTTCTCTAAATGAGTTTTTCCCAGCGCCTGCCCATGGTATCTGCAGGTGGAAACACTAAGGTGAGCTAGTCTGAACTAACTTTCTGAATCAAGTCACTTCAGAGATGACCCAGTCTGAGAAGCTTAGAGCAGTGCTGGGGCTTGGTGCCTGGCTGGTACTGTTATGTTCCTAACCGCAGAGCTTTCTTGACATGCAAATAACCTCCCCCCACCTTCCCCAACCCCTCCCAAGGAGTAGCAATTTTATATTTGATTTCCTTTTTTTTTTTTGTTTTGTTTTGTTTTTTTGTTTTGTTTCCCCTTATAAACCCGAACAATGTAGGTGTCTAGTCATATACAGGTCTTAGCAAGAAAGAAAGTTCGAGAAATTCAAGCCGCCATTAAGGTACGTCTGGCTTGCCCAGTTGTAGGGGGCTTTTCATCTCCATGGTTACAGGCTTTTCCTTTGTTTTCCTCCCTTCCCCTACCCTGCAGGTGTCTAGTCACATTCAGGTTCTTGCCAGAAGGAAATCTCGTGATTTTCATTCCAAGCTAAAGGTATGCGCTTTTCTGCTTTTTGGCTTGTGGTTGCTATGCTTCTCACTTCCTGTTTTCCATGGTGACTCTTGAATGCCTGGTGCTGGGATTCTTGTAACCTAGTTTCCTTGCATGTGAGAGCTGGTTATGTTTCTTTGTGTCTAATCTCTCCTTTTCTGTACTGGCCTCATATTAAACTACCCGCTCCCCCTTGTCTCTGTGTGTGTGCGTATGTGTTCCCAGTAACAACGCAAATGCAACAGAGAGCTGGTCTTGGTAACTTTTCAGTGCAGAAACATGATATTTTAAAAAGAAAGGAAGGGAAAAAAGAAAGGAAAAAACCCTCTAAACTTCTAATGTCCACTAGGGAGCCTTGGACTAGCAGTTTGCATCTAGAGATGCAGCTTTATTAAAAAGACATCATTTAAAAATTGTTCATTTCCGGAGTCATCATGAAATGACTTTTAGGACATATTTTGAAATTATTTTAATTTGTACTTTTAATGTATTTTCAAGAATACTCAGAAGAAAAATGCTCATTTTCACACATAGCTCCTCCAAAACCTGTTTTCACTCAGATTTCTTCCCCATTGCCTGCAGTACTGGTTCTTTCAAGTGAAGACTCTCTTAATCGAGAGGTCTGAGCCAGGCATGGTGTCTGCAAATCTAGCACTAAAGAGGCAGAAAAGGTTGCCACAGGTTCAAGGCCAGCCTGGGCTATGTAGTAAGACACCGTCTCAGAAATAATAAAAATAAATACAGGGAGGCCTGAAGTATGGCAGAAGCAAAATACAGTGGATCTCACAGATAAAACTCTTGATCAAACTTATGTTTGCAGATTTACTTAGAATTTTTTATATTTGCTTTATTTTACTGTCTGTTAAAAGTGCCTTGCAATGCAAAATTTTTAAAAAGTAATAATAAAATGAAGGCACTGGTACTTTTTAAATCCAAGTTCCTTTTCCTGCATTGCATGACATTTATTTCTTTGCAGTGCTCTAATCTAGAGCCTCTTAGAAGATCTTCAGTTTCTAGTAAAAATGAATTTAGGGTCATGTTGTTGCTGTTCTCGTGTGACTTTCCCCGTACACTCATTACATCTGTCATTTTGTTCCACACTAAAACAGTATCATTTCACAGTGCTGAGCCCTGGGACCTCACCCCCAAATCCTTCAACTTTTAAAACACAAACCAAGCTGGCTGTGGCTTAGGACTAGGGAAGGAAGGAGCATGGGTGTCCACTCTGCGGTGGGCAGCATGCTGGCTCGCTTGCTGGCACGTATGGCTGATGGTGGCTGGCTTTGAGCTGCACTGGCTGAGCAGTTGGAAGGCTGAGGTAATTCTTAGATCCTGCTTTTTAACCAGAGGTGCGGGACTCTCTGTGGATGTAACGCCCCAGTGTTCTCTCCAGTGCTCACTTCACTCTGTTTCTAGTTTCTCTGGGCTAATGAATTAATAATATACAAAGAAGTTTACAGATATCATTTTGTACTTCCATCTTCAACGTTACAAATTGCTCTACTTCTCTACGTGTGTGTTTCCTATAGGCTCATGGGGTGGGTGGGTGGGGGTTCCTTGGGTCCCAGAAGGTGATGAAAGTGTCTGTTCTGTTCAGAAGGGAATCCCATTGGATACAAGAAAATCACTTGGTGATTTGAAGAATTTTCTTCCTTAAAAGAAATTGCTATAGCTTTATATATATGCATGCATTCAGACAGACATGTTTGTGTTAAATGATAAAAAAAGAGGCATTCTCCCACCTGCAACCAGTTCTTTGGCGGGGGCAGGGACCAGGAGCAGCTACCTCTATATTTGAAGCTCCAAGAACCACCTCGTCTTCTTGTGGTTCCTTTCCTTCTTCCCTTTTACTCTATTCCTGGAAAAATAGAGCCTTTACTTCTCCATCCTCTGATACCCATCAAGTGTTCCAAGCATGACACTCAGCACCGTGAGCTCTTGGCAGCCAACCCCCCTGTCCTAAACCTAACCACATAAACAGGTCTCTGAGATTCAAGGTGCTGTTGGGTGTTAGTAGAAAGAGCCTTGATTAATGTGGAAGGAACACCAGGAATGGGTGCCTGAAGACTGCCCTCTTAAGTCTGACATTTTAAGAATAGGTAGTGTTCTGATTTCAAGGAAAAGTATCGAGGAAATTAGAGTTCAGTAAATAGAGTTGACTTGACAAAACTACAAGCTTAGTAAAGAAAAAAGGCAGACTTTTAAACCCAACTGAAGTCTTGCTGAATATAAGCCCTCACCCCTTAGTCTCTGGAGCTGGGCACTCAGTCCTTCCACTGAGTGCCTACATTTTACCACTGAGCCTGTGGTCATTGTGTGGAGGTAGTTTAGAGTGGACACTGATGGTCATCAGTAACTTAGGGGTGGGGCATTGTGGTCCTAGCTGCAGAGCTGCTCCGCCACTGTTCTGAGGGCTTCAGGATGGTCAAGGACAATAAGGCTGGCTGTCATTTCACCTGCTTGTCAGTCATGTGGCTGTCCTGTGAACATTTTATCCTGACCCTGCAGAACATGGGTTCAGGTCTGTAGGTCTTGCAGAGAGCTGGGTCTTGGGGTTGTGTCTTTGCTCTCTTTGCAGGGCTATGGTGTCTGGCCACATACTGGAGTTCATAGGGATAAGCGTGTGCACAGAGTTCATCATCTGTGCTAGCCAATAATCCTAGTGTAGCCTCCCCCACACACTGATGAGATAAACTCTCCACACAATGTGAGGTCAACTTGAAGGTGACAAGGTGGCTTCCAGGTGGGTGACAGGAGATGTGCTTTGCCTGAGAAAGATGTAGGAGGCTCCTTAGAGAAGGTAACCAATGTCTGACCCTCCCAGGGTCTGCCTCTGGCAGTGCTTCCTCCAGGCTGTGTCTCCACAGACCCAGAAGTTAGGTGCTGGTGTAGGGGACAAAGATCTATAGTTCTCCTGGGAAAACTAAAACCAGAATTGCATTTCCTTATCCTCCCACAGAGCTTGAAAAAAATGGCGTGTGTTCACCTGGACTCCTGTCAGGTGTGCATCACTGTGCGCCCACTTGATATATATATATTTAAACACCTATTGTGTGTGTATGTATCTATTGTGTGTGTATGTATGTATGTTGCGTGGGGGGGGTGGTCAGGTGAAGCACATGTAGAGGTCAGAGGATGGCTTGTGGAAATCTCTTCTCTCCTTCTAGTATGCAGGTCCTAGGGATCAAACGCTGATTGTCAGGCATGTATGGTGGCAAGGATCTACTGAACCATCAGCCCACTGGCTTCTAAGCCTCTCCCAGAGCAGGGTGTGACAAGAGTTCTTAGGGTACTGGTTTTCAGACAACCTCCCCCTTCATTTATATGTGTGTGTGAGTTGTGAGTTCATGTGTGTGGAGGACAGGTTGACATCGGGTATCTTCCTTAGTCACTTTCTACCTTACATAGTGAGGCCAGATCTCTTGCTTGAGCTCAGAGCTCACTTGGGCTGCTAATCTAGCTTGCACCAGGCATCCTGTCTCTGCCTCTTTTCTGTATGTTGGGGTTATAGGAGGGCCACCATGCCCACCCAGTATTTATGTGGGTACTGTAGATTCAAATTTGGGTCCTCACTCTTGCATGGTAAGCACTTTTCCCATGGAGTCATTTCCCCAACCCCTTCCAGCCCATTTAAAAGCTGTGAAAACTTTTGTTTTAAGTGGAAATCTTACTGAAACTATAATAAATGGGAGAGCAAAAGTGATGCTACAGAAACAGCACTGCATTCTTAGCAGTGGCCTGTCAGCTGTTCCCTGGAACACAGTTTGAGAAGCCACAGTCCTTTGCCCCAGGCGGAAAGCAAAGGAGGCCACTCTCTCCTGGGTATTTCCTGGCTTTAGAGTCCCACATAAAGCGCATGTGTCTAGCTGCGAGGAAAACACAGAGGTAGCGTCGTCCTCCTGTCACAGCCACAGTGAGTCATCTTGGCTGCCGTCACTCTCTTGAAAATCAGTTAGTGTGAGTTCCAAAGGTCAGCCGTGTTGTCACTGACTGCACGGTTCTCACAGTAACTGTTTGTGGGCCGGATCATCCCCCAAATATGCAGACTCTACATTTATTTTCATCTTAGCAAAGAAAATAAGAATCTAGTGAATGTGTCAGGTTTCCACATTGATTTGAACTGTAAAAAGCACAGGAATGATTGCTTCATTCAACCTCTGGTGTTTTGTCCGGAACCCGCTGCACCCTAGGCCTTGCTGAGCTTCTTCTATTCTGGGGAAATGCTAAACTTTGTGCTAATTTCCTGCTGGGTTTCCCAAGGCTGAGGCTGGTGGCAGAAATTAAACAGGGTACAGAGAAGAAAACGAGAGAGAATGCTCCCAGAGTAGGACATTGAAGAAAGCTTCAGGGATGGGGTGCCTACCATTAGAACCAGGCATAGAGCAAGCAAATGAATTTCCATAAAGGTAGGGCGTCAGGGGCACCCTGAAGAACACCCGTAGTGGGTCTTGGACATGACCAGAGCAGCCCTGTGCCATTTCTCAGAGGAGGGGGCATTCACTCAGGGCTGCTGGGGAGGCTCTTCACAAAGCACCTTTGGGAAGGACCTTGAGCCGGCTTGTGCTGGACAGCTAGTAAGAGGGAGGCCAGCCTGGAGCAGAGTCCCAGTGCTTAGGCTGCTGGTAGGAGAGGTCTCTGTCTGGTTTGGGCTGGCTCTATAACCTAGCTTGCTATACTGTGGCCTTCCTCTGTCCTTGGGGCCAGCTGATGACCCACTCCAGCCCACTCTCATGGCTCTGCTCTTTCTCCTTGCTGTTTTTTTTTTTTTTTTTGCTGTTGTTTGTTTGTTTGGTCTTTTTGAGACAGGGTCTCCCTGTAGCCCCAACTGTCCTGGAACTCACTGTGTAGACTAGGCTGGCCTTGAACTCACAGAGATCAGCCTGCCTCTGCCTCCTGAGTGCTGGGATTAAATTCATGCGCCACCATGCCCGGCTTCTCTTTGTTGTTTTTAAAGAGGGAATTATGGCTAGAAAGTCTTAGCAGAGAGACGCTAGACCTTGTCA